ACCAAAAAAAAAAAAAAAAAAAAACAGAAAAATACAACAAACTCAGTGTAGTGAATACGATAGGTTCAGTAGGAACACATGGAAAATGCTGGAAGGTGCTGATAGCTGGGTTTGATAGAGACACTTTTGGATTCTAAATAAACTTTGGCATGTTTAAAGGTGGTGGGGTGAACCCTGACTTATGGGAAGCCATCAAATAAAACAAAAGTCTGATTAGAAAGGTGTGAATTGTGTGCTGTGTCAGGAAATCTCCCTTATTTACCATTGCCTTGGTGGTTTTGCTTTTTTATTTTTCTTCTGTTTTCTGAATTTCTGGTGAGAAGAGAAAAAAAAGGTATTTGTTTTTATAAAGAATCCATCCTCCTGGTATATCTGCAAGGAAAGATTCCAGGAATGGAATTCATCCAGTATTGATGGTAGTTATTTCAAGGTGGTAGAATTTGAAAATCTTTATATTTTTCTGTATTAAACTTTTTTTGATTACTATAGCTTTATAGTAATTTGAAATTAGAAAATGTGAAGCCTCTGGCTTTGTTCTTTTTTCTTAGGACTGCTTTGGCTATTAAGAGTTTTGTGGTACTATACAAATTTCAGGATTTTTTGTTCTGTTTCTATGGTAAGTGCCATTGGGATTTTGATAGGGATTGCATTGACTGTGTAGATTCCTTTAGGTAACATGGACATTTCTACAATGTTAATTCTTCTAATCCATGAACACAGAATATCTTTCCATTTCTTTGTGTCTTCTTCAGTTTCTTTCAACATTGTCTTGCAGTTTTCAGTATATAGGTCCTTCACTGCCTTGGTTAGGTTTATTCCTAGGTATTTTATTCTCATTGTGGTGATTGTGAGATCGTTTTCCTCATTTCTCATTCTGATAGTTCATTGTTAATATATAAAAATGCAAGATTTTTGCACATTGATTTTATATCCTATAACTTCACTGTGTTTATTATTTCTAGTAGTTTTTTGATGGAGTCTTTAGGGTTATCCGTGTATAAAATCGTGTCATCCACAAACAGTGATAGTTTTACTTCCTTCCCAATTCGGATGCCTTTCGTTTGTTTTTTCTTGCCCGATTGCTCTGGCGAGGACGTCAGTACTGTGTGAATAGAAGTGGCAGAGTGGGCTTCCTCATCTCATTCCTGATCTGAGAGGAAAAGCTTTGTTTTCACCTTTGAGTATGATGTTAGCTGTCGGTTTGTCATGTGGCCTTTATTGTGTTGCGGTACTTTCATTCCAAACCCATTTTGAGAGTTTTGTCATAAATGGATGTTGTATCTTATCAAGTGCTTTTAATGTATCTTTTGAGGTTATCAAGATTTTTCTCCTTCATTCTGTCATTTCCTCATGTCTACTTTAAACAAAAGGCCTGCTTTAAACAAAAACCTTTGTAGACACTAATATATCATGCATACAAATGGTTTCATGTCTGTTACTCCCTTTTAGTGCTTCAGTTGTTCACACATTTTCCTTTGCCTGCTTCTGGTAAGGGCTTGGGCTGATGTTTGTTCCTTTTAGAACAATGACCTTTCACTATACTTGCCTTTGGCCGGAGGGGATGCCCCTCCCTGCCATCTCCCTGAACAGGTCTTTCCTCCACACTCTCACCCTGGAAGCCACCAGGATAGGTGAGGGGCCTGCCTGCTTCCCTTCCATCCTTCCTTCCAGATACCTTAAAATTAGCTTTAGCTAGAGAAACACTTGGGTAGTAGGTAAGAAGATGTGTGAATTCAGTCCCCAGGGATCTGAAGGCTGAGTTTCTGTCCCGTTTCAGAGCTGACTCAGTGGTCAGGGTGCGGTTGGGTTCCCAGTTTGTATTAACCCATACTTCGGTGGGCATTTATTAACACAGAGGACCAGCCCTGCCCTGCGAATTCCTGGTTGTGTGTTTTGGGTGGGCAGCAGCAGGGCCCAGAGCTGCATGCCTGGGCAGAAACAATTGTACTTTGATAGCACTTCCCAGGGTGGTGATTAAACACAGAAAAAAACTGAGGAGTTATGCTGCACCATGAGGCTGGCAACCACAGAGGTCATTATTTTTGCTACAAGAGTGCCAGGGGAGGTAAGCCCTGTGGAGTCTGGCCTGGAGGCCCACGGCCCCCTTCAGTGGCTCCCGCCCTGCGGGGGTCCAGCCAAGAGTGCAGTCTGTCTTAAGTAGTGAGCAGAGGATTGGACCAATTGAGTCAACTGTGTCAACCCAGGGGGCTGGGGCTGGAGCTGGAGCTGGGCTGCAATGGCCACTTGACTAACTCATGAAGTTAATAAGCTGATGTGTTTTAACTCCAAGAGTAGAGAACACTTGCCACCCCTTTGCTCCCGGAGGCCAATGAAATGTGTCTCTCTAGTGTCCCTCCTTTGTACCCTACCCCAACCCACCCATCTTTGTCAGGGAACAGCCAGTCTCTCTGCATGTAAAAGCATCCATTCTAGCATTGTCCTGCTTTTCCTATGAATGGTGTGGTTTGGCAGTGATCCCCGAGCTGCCTCACATTGCCTCTATTCTGGTTATTTTGGCTCAGGCAATTCCCACCAGTGTTTAAGCCTGTTGGGTCCCAGTCATGTTAGGTGCCAGGCCTAGGCTGATTCCCTGGTCAGCCTGCTCAGATCTGCTCTGTGCTTTCAGCTACAGTTGCTGTGGCAGGTAGGCAGGAATGACACAAGCCAGGACTGGCAGATGTGCCTGCTGCACGGCCACGCCTGCTGAGCTTCCTGTCTCCTTTTCCTATAAAGGGTTGCTGCATAGATTCTTTATACATGAGTCCTTGCAGGTGTTTTTTGCTTTGAGCCAGATATCTGGAGTCTCTTGAGATCTCCATTTTTTCTTCCTGATTGTTGGACATTCTCAACTGGGAACATTTTTAGGAGACTATAGCAATGAACAAAATAACCACTAGTCAAAGTCTAAATACCTACCAGTAGGGGATAATTTAATTATGATAAATATGTTTGATGGATATTAGCTTTTTATTAATATAAGAAAGCTCTCCTGTAATAAGGGAAACAAAAGCAGGTCACAAATTTTATATATGTTATGATCACAACTATGTTACAAAACAGAAAGGTGAGAAGGGAAACTCCAAAATACTAAGTGGTTATCCCGAGGGTGGAAATACAGGTGATTGCTTTTTATCTTTTTATTTTCCCCTATTTTCTACAGTGATTGTGTATTAACTTTTATAATTAGAAACAATGTTTTCTATTGAATTTATTGGGGTCACATTGGTTAATAAAATTATGTAAGTTTCGGGTGTACAGTTCTGTAATACATCATCTGTATATTGTATTGTGTGTTCACCACCCCAAGTCCAGTTTCTTTCTATCACCATTTATCCCCCTTTACCCTGTCCTACCTCCCTGCTTCCCTCTGGTAATCACCATGGTGTTGTCTCTAAGAGTTGGTGAATGTCTTTTTTCATTCAGTACGTTGTCCCCTCATTCTGTTGATGGTTTCCTTCTGTGCAAAAACTTTTTTTTTTTAATATATCTTTATTGATTTCAGAGAGAGGAGAGGAAAGGAGAGGGAGAGAGAGAGAGAGAAACATCAGTGATGAGAGAGTCATTGATCAAGCCCGCAACCGGGCACGTGCCCTGACCGGGAATCGAACCCCAATCACCTGGATCCTAGGTTGATGCTCAACCGCTGAGCCACTCCTGGCCGGGCTGTGCAAAAACTTTTTAATTTGATGTAGTCCCATTTGTTTTTCTTTTCTTTTGTTTCCCTTGCCTGAGGAGACATACCTAAGAAAATACTGCTGAGAGTGATGTCAAAGAATTGACTGCCTGTGTTCTAGGAGCTCCATGGTCTTAAGTCCTACAACCAAGTCCCCAGTCCATTTTGAGTTCATTCTTGTATATAGAATAAGAAAGTGGTCCAGCCTCACTCACCTGCATGTATCTGTCCAGCTTTCTCAGCACCACCCACCTAAGAGACTGTCTTCACCCCACTGTATACATACCTCTGCCTCCCCTGTCAAAGGTCAGTTGACCATACAGATGTGGGCTTACCTCTGAGCTGTCCACTCCGCCCCATCGGTCCACACATCCATCCCATACCAGCACCACACTGCCTTCACCACCATAACCCTGTAGTACAGCCCACAGTCAAGTAGCATGATGTCTCCAACTTTGTTTTTTCTCAAAATCACTTTGGCTACTTGGGGGCTGTTGTTTGGGGATTGACCCAATGGAGCGACTCCTTTAGCAGGGTTCTGTACCAGCCAAGTCTGCCCTTTGGGTTTGTCATTTGTGGAGCCGGTTGGGTGGTGCTCTGGTGTGGTCTGAAGTCGACCACTGGGCTTGTTGGTTCTGGAGCCTCTTGGGAGGGGCTGTGGTGCAGGACAAGAGCAGTCACTGCTTCTTCTGGGCTTGGGGCTACAAAGTGATCTGTAGTTTGGTTGCTTCTTGTGCTGGGCTTAGAGGCTCTGTCTGCTGCAAACCCAGGCTGGCGGCCACTTGTGCTGGGCTTGAGACCCGTTGTTGGGCACCACAGTGTGAGCTGAGTCCAGCAACCACTTGTGTCAGGCTTGTGGCTGCTTAGTTGAGGCTATATTCAAAGCCAAGACTGGCCACAGCTTATACCATCCTTGGGGCCACCTGACATGAATTACAGTGCAAGCTGAGGCCAGTCGTCACTCGTGCCAGGCTGGGAGCTACTTAGCAAGAGGTACAGGACATGCCAATGCTGGATGCTGCTTGCTTGTTTGCAGTTTGTGGACCTTTGAGAGATTTTAGGAAAGTCCACAGCATGAGGTAAGGCAGGCCACTTGTGTGGAGGAACCACTAGAAGTGGCTCAGGCCGGGCAAGCAAGGAATCCCCAGGATAGGGCGAACGGTGTTAGCCAGGTTGATGGTTGATGGAGAGTTCAGATTTCGCGCCCACCTCTGCCGGGCTGGCTGGCTGGCTGGCTGGCTGGAAGAAGAGCTCAACAAAGGAGCAGTGGCTTCTGCCAGCACTTCTGTCTCTGGAGAGAGCTGCTGCTGCTCCTGTGCTGGAGCCCAGAGCAAGTGAGTTTGGGAACGAGTCCGCTTGAGGGCTTAAGCTCCATCTCACTCCCATGCAGTCCATGCTGGTTTTTCAAAGTCAGATGTTATGGGGACTCCTCTTCCCAGCACTGATGCCCTGGGGTGGGACCCCTTGCTCCTCAGGGCACCTCTGCAGCTGAGATAACCTTCCTGATTCTTAATTTCCACACCATGGATATGGGACCTGCCTGTTCCATGTCTCCACCCCTCCTACCATTCTCAACATGGCTTCTCCTTCATAGCTCCTCTTCAGGTGGTTTCAGTGATAGCTACTCTAGAATTTAGTGGTAATTTTGATGTGGTCATGGGAGGAGGTGAGCACAGCTTTTACCTACTCTGCCTCTTGACCGGAAGTCCTATGTGCTAATTGTTGACCAGCTATTTTTCTGGGAGGGATGGCTCGTCTTTGGCTAGAGTTTTTTTTAGGGGTGCTCAGTGCTGATTGCAGGCTGAGATGAAGGAGGTACTGCAGGGGACACACGGGACATCACCCCTCCCAGCTCACACTAGAAAAATGAGAGGAATGAGGAAAACTGCCCAGGAAATGCCTTCTTTAAAAATGTTTTCCTTTTTCCAACTTCGATAAGTAGAAAAATACAAACGCCATTCATTGTTGATCATCCTAGCCAGCTTGGCACCAGGTCCCTATGAATTATGATTTATGTTTTTAGTTATTTTCCATTTTGTATCTTCATTATGGGGCCACTTTCTTGCTCCCCTAAAATCATCTTTCCCAGCAAGCTGGGTTTTCTGGGCCTCATCTATGTGCAGTGGTTACCTCCTGCAGGCCTGTGACACCCCATCCTTCACCACACTGTCACTTCAGTTATTAATTCAGTGGACAGGAGGCAGAGCTATGCCTGGCCCTCTGGCTCCTGTCCCAGGAGCCTGTGAGTAATCATCTCGCACCTCCCAGAGCCCCTCCCTGCCCTGCCGGGTGGCTGAGTCAGCTGGCGGGGGTACCTGTCTGTGCAGGTACGGCCTCAGCACAGGAGACTCCAGGCGTGTGTGCCTGCGCCGTAGAGCAGCTTCGTCCCCGGATGCTTCAGGAGAGGCAGGTTACCCTGTGGGCCAGGCCCACCGCTGGGATTCATGGAATCTGCCTGCTCACTCCTCTGTCCTTCTTTCCCGCCTCTGGCCTGTAGGTGTTTGAGGAGCTGTGGAGGAGTAAAGGGAAGACTCCAGCGCAGATTGTTTCAGAAAAGCAGCTTGAACTGATGCAGGATCACGAGGCCCTGGAACAGCTCTGCCAGGCCACACTGGAGGAACATCCTCAAGTGGTAATTGCCACCCAGGTAGAGGAGGGTCTTCACATGCAGCCAGAGTGAGGAGCCAGCAGAGGGCCAAGAACCTGTCCACCGCGCCCTGTAGCAACCCAGAGGCACTTCCTAATGGCTGACCCAGTTTCATCAGCAATTCCCCAAGTACTTTTGTCAGTTTCTAGCTAAGGTCAAGAGATGAAATTAGGTGAATATTAGAAATATGCAACTTTTGCCAAGGAAAAGAAAGATCGACCCCTGCCGGTTAAACTCATGAAGTTCCAGTTTGAGGGGTTCCCAGACTCACTAGATCCAAGTTTCTACCTCCCAGGCTCGCGGCCCTCCCGGGGCTGGCATTCTGCACGTGCTGTGGCTAGCTCTGCTTTACAAGGAGTGCCTCTCAGTAAAACCCAGCAGGCATGACTGCAGAGGGGAAGACAGCTAGGGAAACACTTTAGCTTCATGCCTTTAAGAGGTGGGAAGAAAAGCAGAAAGGAAAATTATTTATAAATCATGGAAAAAATCCTTAACAGGAATGTAGCTAAAAACCAAGCCATTATGTGTTCTGAGCATAGAACAAAATAGAAAAGCTACAGTGAGTAGCACCCCTCATTCCTTCCCTCCCTAAGTCTAATCATATTGTCTAGAGATGTTTTTTAGTGGGGGGGAAATGGCTAGCACCTCAGAATAATACCCACCTACCTCAGCTTGCCGGGACACAGCTCTGGGAGGAGCTCTTGACAAGGAAAATGAGCCTGCACTGGGTCTTGGCAATCTCTGTCCGCCAGCCTCAGCCTCAGCGACTGGTGAAGACACTTCCAGTTTCAGACTTCTGTGGCCCTGAGTGCGAATACTCACAGGCGTTACTGCCCATCGAGATGCTTCAGAGCAGGAGGTAGCAGCTGGTGGCCCTGACAGTCGGTGGCTATTTGATAGGCATTCCGTGCCTCCCGCTTTTGTCGTCCCCATCCTGCCCACCACTGCCAATGCCCCCCATCCACAGGCGCTGGGAAAGTTGCCATTCTGTGGATTTATTTTCTAGCAAACGGGAGTTTAACCCTTCCAGGGAGACAGAAGCCTGCATTTCAGGGTCTGCTGACCTCCACAGGAGGCCTAGAGGGCGCCTCATTCTGGTCAGTCTGACAGTTTCTCTCAGAGTGTGACTCACAAGCCTCCAAGAAGCTCCCCCGCTGTGGCCCTGGAGGCGCATGAGCTTCCTGCCGGCTGGGTCCCTCCTGGTGCAGCACATTCCCCAGCCTGTTTCAGTCAGAGGGCAAAGTAGCCAGGACTCTGACGGGAGCCTAGAAACCACCTCAGAACTTCATCCCTCCCGTTTCCTTTTATTTTATATCTCATACTAAAAGAAAAAAACAATTTAAATTTCAGTAAATATGAACCTTAATTTAGGATGTTTAGATATGAGTCTATATTTTCTTCTCTAAAACAATTTCTGTCTTGTAAGGTAATGGATATGAAGAAGGGAAACCCCAGAGCTATAAATAAACTGATTGGATTGGTCCGAAAAGCAACTGTCAGCCGAGCAGATCCGACTGTGATAAAGGAGATACTGGAGAAGCAGCTGTCGTCATGAGATATTTCGGGTCCCTCTGCCTGAGGGAGACAGTGAAGCCACAACAGAACTAGAGCCTTGAAGCCTGATGTCCATGAGCTCGACGTACTGGCATCTCCCAGTCCCTGGCCAGCCAGACCCGGGGAAGCAGTCTCACCCCTGTTTTCGTCATTGACATCAAAACGGCTCCATCATAGCTGCAAAGGTGGTTAAAAAACACACATTCTAGTGCTTAATAATTCTGAACTAAATGAAACATATTGTCTCAGACACTGTTACCTCTCTAAGGAAAGTTCATTCTGCAGTTCCTTCAACAAATATTTCTGAGCACATGCTAAGGGCCAGCATCATTCTAGGTGCTGGGGACTAGCAGTGAGTGAGTGAGCGAGAGACCAGAATCCGGGTGCAGTGTTTTAGACCTAAAAAGAGGTTGATTAAGAGGAAGACAAGATAAATCCATTGGCAGTATAAACATACGTGTGTTTAGAGAGGCCTCACGAGGGCAGGGAAGGAGCATATTAGTCTTGTATTAGGTATTAGGACCAGTCACCCATCCCCTGCGTAGAAATGGTGTCCATTCAGCTCCTGAGGGACCCAGGAGGCAATGCTTTGAGAACAAATGATTTTTTTCTTTTTGGTAAAATAGACAACAGACATTTTCAAATAAATTTAATGAATAAAATATATACTGAAATATCACATAAAAAATTAACTTACACTTCAAAGATTGTGCAACTGACAATCCCCCACCCACCCTCAGGCCAAAAAGAGATAAAAAGAATAATAAGCTGTAACATCAAATTGATTTGTTTCGCCTGGAAAGGATAAGATTATAAACTGGCAAGTCAAAATCTTGACCTTTAACAGTAAGTGTGGTACAGCTAACAGTATCTCCGTGAGGGCTCGTTGCTTCGCCGCTGTTCTTGTGACAGTAATAATATTTCTGTCTCCGCACTGGGACGCCCCTTAGTTCATCTTACGCCTTTGTTACCTCTGACTCACATGCTTAAAGACCAGTTTTGCAAATGGTGTTTTTTAAAAGCACATGTCAAATTGTGACATAAGAAAATTTTTGGAAGCCCTGATTTTACAGTTCTTTAGCCTACTAAAAAGAGTGGAAGCATTTCCAGCATGACCGTGCTCCTGTGGCGGCAGGAGAAAGTGAACCTTCCCCATCACCGGGTTGGCAGGTGATGGTCCAGACGCTGCTCAGGACTTCCTGACTGGGTAACGAGAGAAGGTCCCTCTTGCTGATTTAGAATTATGAGAGAGTACGTTACATCACCCAGGAAGCCATGTGCCCCTCACATTCTGTCACAATACTGACAACCACTGGGCCTAAAAGTAAAATATCATTGAGCCTCTTTTCGAGAGAAAGGCAGAGTCCGTCCTGTCTCCTCACCCAACAAGTCTGAATTCCAGGTGGGAAAGGCAGTGTGAGGTTGGAATCTGGGGGATCATTATTTTGCAAAGGCCTGGCTTCTTAGGCACCACACTTTTCAGAACGCACTGGAGGGTCTTTCCAGACCATTGGAAATCAAGGGTTGGCTTAACCGGGGTGCAGGGCAGCCGGAGGAAGGTGTTTACCAGAACTGTTATTTCAAGTATTAACTGTACTGTGGACTGACCATCTCCAGAGAAACACGCCGTCATTAAATCACTCAAGCTTTAACCAAGCTAGTTGTCGTCCAGCTCTGACAGTGCTGTGGTCCTGAAATCCCACTGCTAAAATCCTGAAAATCGGGCTGTTACATAGTTATAACTGCTTATAAGGAGAAAAAAAACAGCAGCTTCAGCTCAGATATCTTACTTGGAGCCTGACTGGATAATGGAAGATATATTTACGTAACACCCCAAGAAATCCACAAAGTATGGCTCTGCTCATAAATGGGCCTCAGTGAAATACAATTTTAAATACTACTTTGCATGAATATGAATTTAGTTTGGTCATTTGCTACTTGGACAAATCTCATTAAAATGTGTGAGTTGGCGCTCCACACACCTGTAAACCGGGAGGGGAATGTGCTAGAAAAGGGACTGCCCCCAGGTCCGCCTGAACCAGCTCTGCCTGGTCAGGTCTAAACCATGTGTTGTTTTACTTGAGGAGGCTGCTTGGTTGGTTATGGTGGGAGGGTGGGAATGTGAGCCTCAGAACTCAGCATGCTAACGGAATACATACTTAGTAAAAGTTCATTAATTTTATAAAACAAAATTAAATGGGCAGCCTTTTGTGGGGCACCCTTTGTATGAGGTTGGTGCTGCCAACTTACTAGGCTTGTAAATCCTGGATCTCTTTGTCCAGGAAGGAGCTTCTTGACTGTCCAGGGTTATGCATCAAGGTGAACTTCTGCGATCCTTCAAGGTGTGGGTAGCCCAGGAAGAAGAATGTTGATCATTATTTATACCAAGTTAAGGATGTTTTAGCTGAGTTCCACACTCCACCCTTCCTTTTTGGAATTATTGCTAATCTGGGATGAGGCTATGAAGGCCAAGAGGAGGTCCACATCCTCTTCGGGCTTTGAGTTGGTAGGTTAATTCAATATACAGCTCATGGCCGTGACCCACAATTTATATTGTATTTTTCGTTTCTATTGAATTTAGCTGCATCATTCCAAGGATTCTACATGGTGACTATTTGGAAAAACCACTAAATCTCTCTGAAAGGCCTTGTTATTTACTCATTACCAAAGGCAGTGTGGAGATGGCTGCTGTGCTGCTTCAGCAGGTTGCAGACAAATGCACCCGTGGATTATTTGAGAAGAGAGCTGACCCTAGATTGTGAGATGCAAAGTATCTGATTGAAATTCAATCTCACTGCCTCCCTTAGTCAGACAACTTAGCAAAAATCAATTAAGACAGCACCAAATCCCCTCTTTTAAAATGTCTCCAGGGCCAAGAGGGGCCTAGTTATAGGTGGTCCTTTTATAGACTTGTCCCAGTAAAAACTCAGCTGACACGCTAAGAAGCACAGACTTCTGCAGCCTCAGCTCCACGAAATTTATGATCTGGACCAAGAGCTTCCATCACTCTTGTCAGATTCTTCAATGACAGAGTAAATCCATGCTCCCCCAAAGGTGCCTGAAATACAGACCGAACTCATGCTGACAGAACCTACTAGAAGTCTTGCTACTGGTGTGGGTGACAGGGAGTTAGGTTTGCTCACATGTAAAACAGGAACTGAATAGGATAGGAAGGGTAAGTCCTACCTAAAATCATCATTCATTATAGGATTCTAAGTGCAGAGGCCAAAGAACTGAATGCTTCCTTCCCATCCTGTCCCTGTTTTTCCAAAATCTTTCACTGACGCCGTTTATCCAGTTAATGAGCTGCCTGGATAATCTGTCCTCCAGAACAAGTAATGGCCTAATAAAGCCGGGACGCAGGGAGGGTTTACCAAGGCAAAGTTACCCTGAAAACAATGCTTCGTCTTCCAAGAGCTCTTTCTTAAAAAAGCATTAGGTTTATGATGGTCATTCACACGATCCTCAATGATGTGATTTAAGGATGGAGTGTAAACTGGCTTGACAGTGTTCTGTTTTAAGCTGTTACTTGGAGAATTTGTGTTGTGTGATTTATAGAAATATGGCTGAAGCAGGAAGGGGCCTGAGAATATCTTCTTAGCGACTTAAAGCTGATGTGGCCTCAGCTACCAGAGGACTGCTGTTCCCAGGAAGAGCCAGTACTGCGAAGCTGGCCGAGATTCTCAGCCAGCCACAAATCACACTGGCCTGGGCCAGTGACTGGAAGTAGCACGTGCAATAATAGCTGTCCTACAATAATAAGCTGTTTCATAAAAATGGCAAGCGTGACAGTCAGTCCAGTAAACACAGGGCTGGTAATTAGCAATTAAATTGAACTGCTCTTAAATGAGAGCTGGAGGGGATGCTGTGGACATTTAACATCACACCAGTGGCATGTCCCACCCCTGCTGGGGCAGCACTTCCCTCATGAAAGCAGCCTTGACACACTGATCCAGAATCAAATGCATCACAAACCTCTCCACAGATCTGGAAACTGACCCACACGCCTCTGCAACCAAACTGACTCGGAGACATCGAAACTACTCTCAGTCTGGCACCACGGGCTGCCCACATTGGAGAGAAAACCAAATAACGTACCCAGCTTCCAGATTCTGTTGCTAAGGGTGTGCCCTCCTGACAGCCACATCTGACCACAATGAAAGCCACTTGCTAAGGAAAAGGTACTCCTGAGGGCCCAGAGAAGAACTGAACACATCCCCCTACAGGTGACAGACACAGTTCCAACCCCAGAACGTCAAAGTATTTTCCAAAATACAGGGGTGGGCAAAAATAGGATTACAGTTGTAATACAAATAACACAATAATAACAATTGAAGAATAAGCTGTGTTTTGTGTACTCACAACTGTAAACTACTTTTGCCCACCCCTGTAATATTAAGAAAAATAGGGAGAATTTCATAATTCCTCTAAATACCAGAAGGAAGTATCCATTGATAAAGAAAATCCCACCTCTAATTGGTTACTCTAGCATCCCCACTTCGTGGCTAAGACATTGTCATTTACCTCCCCCC